ACCTCAGATATATTTCTGCCTTACAGGTTTCCTGTGTTCCAGCTCTAAAACCTTCTCCTCGCACTCCGGCTGTTTCTGTGCGCTCGTGAAATGTCTGCCCTCTCAGATTTCCTTCTGTGCGCGCTTGGATCTTTTTGGTGCAGCCAACCCCTGTCCAAATCCCTCTGTGGGGATTCCCCACAGTATTGAGTATGTAATCGCTTTGGATAAAACGTCCTAACAAGTAACATGTAATGTAATGCGCTATAAATGCGGTTGGCAGGTCCCACATTGGGTATCATAGGTACGCCGGCTGGTATTAAAATACCCAATATACGCAGCCATTTAATGATAATATCTTCTGTTATTTCTTCAGGCATTCAAAGGGAAAGAGGGGGGCAACTGAGGGCATCCCATCAAGTCCAGCCTCCACAAAAAAAAAGTTAATTAGTTGCCAAAGTGTTGAGTTTATTTGTCCAGAGTGTTTTAAAACAGCTCTGTTCATTTAAAAGTGTTTAAAAAATGTGTGCACATAGTTTGTTGATCTAGTGACAAACTTAATGTTGCACTTCTGATAATTTTAAATTTGGTTGTCACCTGTTTATGTACTGTATACCACTTGACTGCACTTCAGTTAGTGTTTTGTCCCTTTCTGTTTACAACATGTTTGTTCTTTGTTCATTTAAAATAGTTTAAAATGGTGTGTACATAGTTTTTGAGCTAGCGACAAACTTAATATTGCATTTTTGATAATTGAAATTTGATTTATACTGTATATACTTGACTGCACGTCCCATGTTTCGTCTTTCTGCTTTGATCCTTATTTTTTCAAGGCAAGCTCAAAGGGAAGGTTGTTATGGTGAGAAACCTAATTGCTGCGATGCACTTTTATATTTAAATATTTTCATTTACATTTTTAATTCATGGTGTGTTGCATTCTTTGTTTATAACTGTAGATATTATGGAAAATCATGAAATCTTTTGAGCTTGGGTCCCTTAGGACCACAACATTTCTGTTTTGGGTCTCATGCTGAAAAAGTTTGGGGACCCCTACCCTACAGAAATAACTGTAAACCATCAACACACACCTGCCAGCTGTCAGGTCTTTTTCATTTCAAATTTTGGAGAAACCAAGGGAAGAAAAGCAGATAAGACAGAATTTATCCATTTAGAAGTTGCAATGTTCAGTTTCTTAATGCAGTTTCTCAAGCAGTTTGAGGTAGCAGAATGATTTACAATGTGTATGTCATTTTGGAACAGCATGACACAAACCATAGCCTAGGAAACCATTACAAAAATGTCATGACATGTCATTGACATCTATCTTTGTATAACAGTAGATTGTTCTTCCTGTGTCTAAAGCCATTGTCAGGACAGACCGACCTATACATGGCAATATTTAAACATATCTTACTTCTGCTTCATGTATTTGCCTGTCCAGTCAGATACTTGTTACAAGCCGGCTCCTGGGCTGCAACAAAAAGCAGGGAGACGAGACGAGGGGTAAGAATATAACAGTTGTTTATTCTCAATAAACAAATAATGCAAGAAACAAGCCACAGGTCCCCGAGGCTGGCACGGAGAGAGTGCCCAGAGGAGTGTCAGCGACGTATCCGGCTGGGATCTTTTTGAAGGCTTCCGGCCAGGTGTAGCTCATCAAGGCTTATCAGCTCTCACACAGGTGCAGCTCGTCAGGCAATGGAACCTGCAAACACAAACCACAAACACACGGCACCCCACGTGGTGTGGAGGGGTCGTCATAAGAAAGGAGTTCCACTAGAACACCGTTAACTACCTAAATACAGGGTTCCTGCAGGTTTTGCCTTCTCAAATTTAAGACTTTTTAAGACCACTTTGAATAGAATTTAAGACCTATTTCACGGCAAGAAAGTATGAAGGAAAATTGCTATGAAAGAAGAAATACATCCCATAATTACTTACAAAGTAAATGTATTCATGTTCAACATAAGAACAATGACTGAATATAACAGCATAACAGTACAGAACTGTGTTAGCGTGTTAGACAAAAAGTGTGTATGTGTGTGTGTGTGTTAGGGCTGTGCAATTAATCGTATTTTAATCGCAATTACGATTTTGGCCTGCCACAATTACGAAAACATAATCGGAAAAAAATGAATTTTGCTTTGCGAGGTTGTGACACTGCACTACAACATAATATTATTTGATCTAATTAATTTTAGTCTAATTTATATTTATTTATATATGTTTAATAGCTTGTAGAGGTGCGCTCCAAAATATTTGTTGATCTTGTTTATTGGTATTTATTATTTGGATATTATTTATTTAAATATATCATTTATTTAATTTATTTGTGTATTGGTTTTTCAGTTGAGTTATATGTTCAGGGTAATCAACAGATAAAAAGATACTGTTCAAATTATTATTTGTTTTAAAGTTCAATAAATGGATTTTTTCAAAGTCAATGAATAATCGTATTTAATAATCGTGATATCAATTATTTACCACAATAATCGAGATTATGATTTTTGCCATAATCGAGCAGGCCTACCATCAGTAGCCTCTTGAAATGTAGACGATATCTTGAAGTCTCTCTGCTCGCAATTTAGCTTCTGTGTCATGGTGACTCAGATGTTTAATGTACGGTGTGAGACACTTAATGTGCTCATCTTGGCCAAAGATTCCTTTGGCCAAGATGAGCACATTAAGTGTCTCACACCGTACATTAAACATCTGAGTCACCATGACACAGAAGCTAAATTGCGAGCAGAGAGACTTCAAGATNAATCTACTTACAAATAAATATGGGGAAGTGTCAGTTCAACCGTATGGTTGGAAAACATCTAATTTAGTGTTTGGTTGAAACCAGTGGAGGGGAATGTGTTTGAAGCCCGCTGCACCTTTTGCAAAATAAATTAGCGATTGTTTTGCTAATGTAGCGTTAGCTAGTGCAGCGTTAGCTAGTGCAGCAGCTCCCGCAACAACACCGGGGGACCTCCGGGCGACGTTTGGGTCTACGGCAACCCTAAAAGCGGAGGTGCTGTAGACGCTAAATACCGTAGCTAAACACCAATCATACAACAGCAACGATGAAATAGTGTAGCCAAGGCAGCAGAGCTCTGAATATAGCTCTTGTTACTCTCTTAACGCATTACTAATGCGTGGGAACATAATAACTAATTTGTGGGAACATAATATTAATTTGTGGCCACGCATTATTAATACGTGGCCACGTATTAATATTTTTCTCACCAATGTCACCAGGGGGGCTCCATACAGAGCAGATATATGGTTTATGGTCACCGTGAACTCTCCACAAAAGCCATAGACATCATACATTGTGTAGGTGTAAGTAAGTTTATCTGCTGTTGCTTCTTGGGTGTGATGAAGCAAAAAAATGTGTGCATGTTTATCACAGTAACAAAGGATCACAAACCATGTGTTCAGTAAGCAGACTCAAAGTACAACTCCACAATCTCTCTCAAGTCCCTTGAATCAGCAACCAGCGGTTCTCAAACCAATCCCCATAATATTATATCACATGTACTTTGCCAATCTTCTTTTTATCGTTAGGGTGGTTCTGTGTCTCATGAAACTGTGACTCAGATCCAACCTTTCGTGATAACTGTCTTCAATGAGGCCGTGGTGGCATTTTTATTTATCTAATGTGGATACTGAATCAAACCATTCAGCTGTCTTTGTCGACAAGAAAGTTCAGTCAGTCATGCAGAGAGCAAACTGTCTGCAGAGTGAAAGCACCACTGGGGTGCCGTCTGGTTGTGTGTGTGTTTTGTGTGTGATTGCAGGTTCCAACTGCAGCTGTCTGACGAGCTGCAGCTGTCTGACGAGCTGCAGCTGGGGAAAGGATATAGGAGGAGCCCGCGCTCGCTTCAGGGACCTGTTGCTGGTTTGACAATTGTTATATTTCTTCCTTCTCTCGCCTCCCTGCTTTTTTTTGCAGCCCAGGAGCCGGGTTGTAACAGATGGGGGCTCGTTGCTTTGGACTGGAAGCGTGTGCAAACTGGATGTCCGTTGTGGGGACGGATTTTGCGCAGCTGCTGTTGTCACTGTGTGCGGCTGGTTGTTGGGAGTAGCGTTACGGGGGAAGGTTTTGCAGTTCTAATGCACAGAGATGGTGTGGCAGCGAGTACGAGCACAGTATCGTTAGTTACCGTGGTATCTGTCCCTTTTAGATCTAGTACGGTCTTCCTTGGAGGTCGTAGGGGGGCTGTTAGTGCGGTGTGAAAGTGGTTAGAGCTATTAGCTCGGGAGCACGCAGAGGCTGCGGGTGGAGTTGCCGGTTTGCTGGTCGCTTCGCCGAGCTTACGTATTAAGTGCTAAGTACCCGCCATAACTAGCACCTGAAGACTAGCGGGGAGTTTAGCTAGTTTCTGTAGGCAGTTAGAGGGATGGGCCACGGTAGCGTGCAGGCTGTGTAGTAGCGTGAGCGTGCACTCAGTGTTGTAGGATGGAGAGTGGGAGGAGTTGTGAGAGCCTCAGTTTAATGAACGGATCCAGATACATTTTTCTCCTTGTTTGAGCGGGTGGCTGAGAGCAGAGAGTGGTCGGATGCTAATAGCACCTTATTGCTGCAGTGTGTGCTAACAGGTAGGGCCCAGGAAGCTTATTCTGCTTTAACGGTGGCGGAGAGCAAAGTGTATCTGATGGTTAAAACTGCTGTGTTGAAGCTTACAGTTGGTCCCTGAGGCCTATCGACAGAGGTTTCGGTCCTGGGAGATGTCTCGCAGACCATGTTGAGTTTGCCAGGGATCTGGTTACCTCTTTCGTAGGTGGTGTAACTCTTTGGAAGTGGATATGTATGTCGCAGTATGTGAGTTGATGGTGTTGGAGCAATTTAAAAATGCTGTGCCCAGCCACATTGCGGTTTACATCAGCGAGCGTAAGGTGAAAACTGCTGCAGAGGCTGCTGCTCTGGCAGATGATTATGTGCTAACGCACAGGGGCGGTCAAGACGTCAGGGTCCAGGATAGAGCTGGTATCGTGCAGGAGGTAGATGGGAAGAGAACGCTAATCCGCACTGGGGTGAGCGTGAGATGGAGGTCACCACAGGGTGATTGTCAACCGTACGTGTCATTGGTGGGAAGTGATATCAGCGTGCCGGTAAAGATTTTAGAGACACTGCATCGTATGACTCATACATTCTGAGCTCTGTGTTACCATTTTCGGACCAATCTGGAACTGGGGATTTTGTCCTGATGCGAGGTATGGGAATGAATGTTGTGCCTGTTCCTCTGCATTCTGTTGTGCTTAACTCAGGTCTGGTGCAGGGTGAGGTCGCCATGGGGGTCCGTCCTGTAATGCCGATTGGTGGTGTGGATGTTATCCTGGGTAACGGCCTGGCTGGCAGCCGTGTGTGGGCTGAGGGTTCACCACCTACCATGCAGTCATCTTCACCCACTGGGACTGTTAACGCAGAGGAGAGTGTTAAGTGCTCTCCTGGAGTGTTTGTGGGAAGAGGTCAGTTAGTTAGATTCTGTGATTATTCCTGACTGGTTGTTGTCTGTATCCCGTAGTGAGTTGGTGGTAGAGCAGAAAGCGGATGTCTCCCTCAGTCCGTTTTTTGAGGCGGTTCTCTCCACCGAGGATGGTAATGGTGTCAGCTGCAAGGGGGATTGCTGGTCAGAAAGTGGTGGTCACGTGGAAAAGCTTCACTGGTGAGCCAGTGTATCAGATTGTGGTTCCTGTCAGATTTCGTGAGGAGGTCTCAGGAAAGCGCATGGGCAGTCGGGACATCTGGGTGTCCGTAAAACATGTGGGTACATGTGCGTATGTTTTTTGGCCTGGTCTCAAGAGAGATGTATCTCGGCACGTTAAGTCATGTCAGACACGGAGCCGATTCCCTTAAAGTCTTAAATTTGATAATCTGAATTTAAGGCCTTAAAAAGGTCTTAAATATGACCAAAAAATAAGAAAGGTTTTAAATATGATTTAGAAGGTCTTAAAAATGATGAGGTACTTCTGTGTTGGATCGCGTCTAATGTGTTTTGGGGAAATGTCCGGGCTGCAAAGTAACCAGTACGGTAATAGCCTTCCAGTTCCCCCCAACAATTTGTATTGAAATAAATCAACATGGAACTAGTAATCACTAACTTTGTTTCCCCGGCCTACTCACACACACACACACACACACACACACACACACACACACACACACACACACACACACACACACACACACACACACACACACACACACACACACACACACACACACACACACACACAAACACACACACTAGGGCTGCTCGATTATGGCAAAAATCATAATCACGATTATTTTTGGTCAATAATTGATATCACAATTATTAAATATGATTATTCATTGACTTTGAAAACATCCATTTATTGAACTTTAAAACAAATAATAATTTGAACAGTATCTTTTTATCTGTTGATTACCCTGAATGTATAATTCAACTGAAAAACCAATACAAAAATAAATTATACATTTAAATAAATAATATTAAAATAATAAATACCAATAAACAAGATCAACAAATATTTTGGAGCGCACTTCCACAAGCTACTAAACATATATAAAAAAAAAAAAATTAGACTCAAATTAATTAGATTAAATATGTTGTCACTGTCACAGCCTAGCAAAGCTAAATAATTGTTTTTTTCGATTATGTTGTTTTTGTAATTGTGGCAAGCCAAAATCGTAGTTGCGATTAAAATACGATTAATTGCACAGCCCGAACACACACACACGCACAGCACACAGAGACACACACACTACTGTACACACTTTTTGGCTAACACAGTTCTGTACTGTTATGCTGTTATGTTCAGTCATTGTTCTTATGTTGAACATGAATACAATTACTTTGTAAGTAATTATGGGACGTATTTCTTCTTTCATAGCAATTTTCCTTCATACTTTCTGTTGGGGCAGAATCTCTGCTCCGCGCCGTTCCTATATGAGCGGGTTCTCAAAAGAAGGAAAAATTCAAAGCAGCCAGGATAAGGGTTAAACAATAATCTGCTTTAATGGCGGAAACATACAAATACTTCACCTAATCGCAAAGCACTCTGCAGAGTACTCCGGGCTCAAGTTCTACCACCGTGTGAGACCCGTCTCAGGAACGGCAAGTCAAAAACAAGAGCGCCGATCTTCAAAATGATCACAACATTTATACACAGAGTTCACTTCTGAGCAAGCTAGACAGTGAGTTGGCAGTGTTCCATTGGTCGGTTTCCCTTCTGGGCGGGATCCCAGGTAGTAAGTCAGTTTGTTGATTCCATCTGTTGCTTCCGTGTAGTGTGTGTGTGTGTGTTTCTGTGTGTGTGTGTGTTTGTCCCTCTGCCCTTAGGCAGATCCCCCAATCAATGATTTGGAGTCATGACAGAGGACTCTTTGACAGGACACATACTCATTCCCCCTAAACATCTTCAACACACACAAACATCGTATCATGTATCTTATCACACAACAGTCACCTGTTTTTCTCTATGAAAGCCATATTTATAAATATCCAAACGCCATCGTCCCATGACAGTCCCCGAATCAGTCAACCAACATAAGTTAATTGTTCTTGTGGCTTAATGGCTTCACTGAACTTCCCTTCACCCCAAAGTCAGCTTACTAGGAATGAATACATTTTATTGATAAGCTCAAAAGGACCTTTATCTCATTTACTGCTGGGTGACCCAAGTCTCAAGACCTGCAGGATGTGTAGGAGATAAACATTAATTCTACAAGACTTTAACTGCCTTATATCTGAAAATGTATCCGGGAATTCCCCTGTTAATTGCAAGGACTATTGATAATTAACAGAGAGACCCTAGGGGCCTCTTCTTGGTATCTGCTAGGCAGAAGTCACTCAATGCAGAAATCACAAGTTTAACACACATTCTATATAAGGTGACATTAAAATGAATATACCAGATTGAACTTTCCTGCCATTAACTCGTTACTTTAATCTTTCAAATAATTCAAATATAACTTCAATTCCCCTTTTGGTCTCGCCCACGAGACCAACTCACATAAGACATTTGGAACACAACTACTGTCATTCTTTGCTACTGTGTCTGTCCCATCCTTAAACCTTTGGGAACAGAACACAACTTTCAATGTTCAGTGAAGGGAACTATCAGAGTGCGAACCTGCGTTGCCAGGAAAGCAGTGTCCTTGGTGTGTGGATCCCTCAGGGCCCCCCCTCCCCCTCAGCAGGAATACGCAACAAGGGCAGAGCTGATAGGGAGGGGGGAGATGCGGCCTTTCCTTCAAAGGTGGAATGATTAATCTGATCAGGAGAGAAGTAGACTCCTTCTGCTGCTCGGGAGAGTCCCCGAGCCTGCTGACAGCCGCTTCCGGT